ACTAAGGAACAGTGGGCAGGAATATACGACTAAAAGGAACCTTGTAGTTCCCACCAAGACACGTCTACATCAAAATATTAAATGTAAATGTAAATGCAACTAACTGCAAAAGTATTTCACTTGTCAAAATCCTAGCACTGTTGGAAGAGTTTTACTAAATTGATTATTTCAAGCAACAAAACTACCTATTAAGCCTAATATCTGTTAAACCAGTAAAAAGGATGGTCAATACAATAATTCCAATGAAAGTAGGTGATAGGTTACTGTTGTTTATGTGGATCCTAATGGGGAAGGGGAAATTGTTCAAATCTGCCGGTCAATTTTTCAAGAGACTTCTGCTTTATTGCCAAAAGAGTGCAATTATTAGAGGAGCTAAAGCAGACCGGTAATCTTATGTACATTGGCAAAACGGGTAATATGACTGGACACCGTAAATACACCGCTGAACATGAAAACCAAGTGTGTAATCATGTTAACTCGATTCCACGAAAAATAGGCCGCTATGCGGAAAGAAATCTGAAAACGAGTACTTGTCACAAGACCTTAACAATAGTAGGCTATTCAACGAATTTAAGATCAAGCATCCAGATACTAAAATCACAAAACGATTCTACTGCGATACTTTTAAAACGAATTTTCCTAAACGCTCCTTCCATAAACATAGAACTGATACTTGCGTGTGATATGTTAGCGTTGAAAAGTGGGAGATGAGAAAAATAAGATTCAAAGCCAACTTAATGCGCACCATTTGAAAGCGGAAGATGATAGGTTAAATTTGAAAGAAGATTATAAAAATGCTCCAAAAACGCGGGGGCATAACATTTTGCCAAATTTCACTTTACGACGGCCCTATCCGTCCGATTTGCACGCTTGGAACGGCGTTGAATTGAGACAGCATTTCACCTTAGCGCCATCAGTTCTCGTTTCCAATTGTTAGTAAGTACATACGTGCAATATACACTCTGTAGGAAAGTTATGTAATGCTGCGGAAAATCCATATCGAGATTATTATAGATATAAACGATTTGGGGTCCCAGATACCGAATTTTACATGAAGACCCCGAAAATTTTCAAAATTTTTCTTTAAATTTCTTTAAAGAATCGAGTAAAATGCACTTATAAAGATGGTAAAGATCTGATTTGAAAATTTTCAATCACACTCAATTTTCGAAAAATTCAAAATTTTAGGACGTCTTCCTAGAACAACAAAACTGAAGATATAAATTTTTCCTTCAAAAAAAAAAAAAAAATTTCTCCAAAGCGACTACTTTCATTTAGGTAATGTGCATTTTTTAAAACAATTGTAGTAGTTTTTACGCTATATTGCTAGTAATACGTGCAGTTTCTTAAAAATACCAGAAAACATTATTTCTCGCAAACAGTTCCAAATTTACTCTAAACGTTTAGTAGGGATACCGCCAAACGCACTCTATAAGATGGCATACGCACCATATTGCTCTATTAGTTTGTTTTTCAAAAATTACAAAAATGTATTTTTTTGGACTTTAAATTTTTTGTTGGTATCACACGTCGTTAATTTTTTATATTATCGGCAATTTGTTCACGTTATATTTATGAGTAAATGTGCTTTAAATAATTTTATATAATTTTTCACGGAAACTCAACCGTTTCCTGGGAAAAGTAGCTCAAACCTTCGCATTTTCAGAAACGCTTAAACGCCATTTTCTCAAAAATAGCTTCAAAGTTTTCTTCATTTTTTTTGAACGGATAGAATAAATTGCACTCTTTATTATGACGTACAGTTCATTTCGGGATTTTTTTTTAATTACACAAGTGTGATTTTTTTGAAAGATCTCTTACGCCTTTAATATGCACATTTCCCGCAATTTGTAACATCTATTGTATTTCTGAGTTAGTGTGCTACAAATGACTTTTAATGTTGGTTTTCGAAAACTCTAAAATTTTCTGTGAAAAAGAGTTATATTTTTAGAAATTACAGTAGCGCTTAAGCGCCATTTTCTCATAAATGTCTCTAAATTTTTCAAATAAAATTGTCATTTAGGGCGAGTTTTTACTATTCTTTAATATTCTTAAAATAATATTTCCTTTGTAGTATTATGGAACCGAAAAATTAAGAATTTTATAAAAAATTTACTTTTGGGTTCGATGGAGAGCAGCGGGCAAGAGAATGTGGCAAATTCGTATAGACAGCCGATTCCAAGGGAAATAGAAAACTAATACTGCAAAGTCTGTGTAATTCTATAGCACTTAATTTCTCGCATTATGGGTCGGCGCTTTGGAGTTGTCAAATTATTTGTTCATTTCCTTTCAGCCGATTCCAATGCAGATTTGGCATGATACAATCTGAAAATAAATCACTAGAAAAGACAATTGAGGGTGTTCAGTTCCAAACAAATGTAACACTTTATTACCCTATATTTCGTAAATGAAATTATATTTGCGCGGGGGGCTATTTCGTAAAAAACTGAAATAATAGCAAAAACGGAATAAATAGACAAAAGATAATTCAACGCAACACCAGGATAATTATATTTTGACGAAAGTTTAAAAAATCATAACCCTAATGCACAAGTACTCATAACTGCATTAATGTAAAAAATGTCCGAATTGTAAATATTAACGACGTTAAAGAAAAGTCAAAAACATTTCTACAAAACATTTTTACATTCTCGTTAAGTACCCCCAAAAATTAATGATTGTTTTTCAAAATCGCAGGTCTTTCTCTCGTGAACAGGAGTATATACAGGTTTTAAAAAATTGTACGCCTAGTTTTGTTTAGTGTTGTTTACATACACCAGACGAACAGACTTCGGACGGATGGACATTTGGCTGTCAATGAAGTTTCGTTATCAAGGATCTACAAAATATGGAATCTGACTACATCATGTGTTACTTTTTTTCTCTTAATTTAGCAACTGGATTTATCCGCATTTTCGTTATCAGGGCCCAACAATTACTTTTTTCTGACGCAAATATGTCGTTTAATCGCGTAGTATTACATAACTTTCTCTATACTACCTATCTTACTCCGTATATACGTACGTATTCGAAAAAGTAAAAATACCCTTTTCGTACACACGAAATGATATCTTACACTTACGTTTAACACAAATATTACATTATTTACCATCTATGCTTTTAATATTGTTTTATTGCTGCCCCAGTCTTCGCGGGATGGATTTCCTTAACTTTGCCGATGCAATGGTTATATATTAAACGTAAATTAGAATAACATGTTTAAGAACCTTTTTTTTAGATAAACGTATTTTCCTTCCTCTCTCTTTGACTCTTTCTCTCTCTCTTTGCCTTTCCCTCTCTCTTCGTCTCTCGATCTCCCTCTTGTTCTCGCTGTCTGTGCATCTCTGTCCCACTCTGTCCTTCTCTCTCCATCCCCCCTCTCTCTCTCTCTCTCATATACATATAGTTGCAGATTCAGCACATCTCTAAGCATGTGAGGTAATATTGAGAAGCGTCTGACCAGCAAAAATATAATAAAAGGTCAAAGAAGATCTCATCCTGCAGATTAAGGCGTGAGAAACGTTTCTTTTGGTCTCGTGTGTAAAAGGCTTTTGGCCTCAAAATTTTAGTTTTTAATGCCCTCGAACACTTCGTTCAAAAGTTATTTAACGATATAGAGTCAACAATGTTCTCTGTGTTGCGGGTTGTTTTTGACATTAATATTTTGTTTTGTTCTTGGGGCCGACATGAATCCGAAACACCAGAGATAATTAAAATAATAAAACCGTTCTTGAGTTATGGTGTAATAATAAATGGTGTAACTAACCCAACTTTGCTACACACACACACACACACACACACACACACACACATATATATATATATATATATATATATATATATATATATGCACACGCACACACACATGTGCGTGCGTGTGTGTGTGTGTGTGCGCGTGCGCGCGTGTGCGTGCGTGTGTGTGTAGTCATACCAGAATGTCACTCGAGTGTAATAGAACGTAATGGATGCATATAGAATGTTAAAATCCAAGGATCATGCATAGCATAGCAACGAACTATAAACATTTAGGAGGCATGCTAGATGAGAATGGTATTGCGAAATACGGCACGGACTAGTGTCATTAACATGGAATTGATTAGGGGAGGGCGTGAAAAATTTATATTTAGCAAAAAGAAGCGAATTCTCATTCTCAGCAAAGCGGCCAAGCAGTTCACATGGTATAAACATTATAAAATTGTGTGATAATAAATTTATATTGTGGGTAAATGTTTGTTTGGTGAATCCATAAAAGTGTAGGCTAAGCAGTATTGTTTATTTTAGTTTTAAGCGGGTAAATGTTTACATTATTTTAATAATAGTTACATTGTATAAATTTTACATTTCAAAAATTATTAGACATCGTGTTCGTGTGTTCATATGAGGTTAGTACCGTAGTGGAAATTATAAACTATTAATTTTAGGTGTGACATATGTTGTACGTCGAACTCATGAAAGATCTTAATAGAAAAACAGCTAGCCGAATTATAAATTATTAGAGAAATTAAATTACGAGCATAGCATAGGAAATCCAATTAAAAAATAATAAAACGTTACCAATGGTTACCTAGCTTGGGGAATGATATATGTAAATAAATAGAATATATATAGTTTTTTCTCATATTTTGCAAACAAAATGTCAAACATAGAGATATTGATCAGTGGTTGAGCAATTAACTAATTTAGAATATATAATATGAAAAATCATATGTCTCACAAACCTAGCATAGATTAAATATATACAGTTAATATGTGCCTAGTTCTGCATTCTGCAGGAAAAATATTTTCAGTCAATCTAAATCCAACTGTTATTGTTTACAGCATCTCGTTTGTGACCAATGGGTACGACTCCAAATGTCCTCATGGGACTGTGTACTGTATTCGTACTCTTCCGGTTAGCGTCCATGGACCAACTACCCACACTAAACTGTCAAGAGACTCGTTCAAGCACTTTGGTGTCATTGCCTAAACCGTGTGTGTTTTTTGTGAGTTTTGTCTTGTGTATGAGCAATGTCTGGCCGGGGCAACATACACCGTACAACATGGATTCAGCTTTCATTCCACTTACTCAAACTGCAACATGGGCCAACGAAACCGAGACTCCCGAACGCGAAGTAACATTCTGCATTGAAATATCATCATTAAATAAGTACTATATTCCCCAGCCTTATGACGCTTCAATTAGTCTGTTCATGGGCTTTTCTACAGGCCTTTATTTAGCTGCTGGAGTCGTGAGCATGACAGAAAATTGCTGGTATATGGAGTAAGTAAATTTGTCTTGTATCAGGTGAGATAAATTTTAGTACCTCATTGAAAAATGTTTTTGTTATTAGACCTTAATTATTTGCACTGGAGCTCAAAAACGTGCAAAAAGGAAAAGCACAATGTTTGCATGGGTACACAAATATTGTTGTACTACAGATGAATGTTCATTTGTGCATAGAAAATACTGTAATGTGGAAATAAAACTACGGGCTGACATCTTGGATCTTCCGTTTGCAAACGAGACGCCTAACCACAAAGAGTTTTGGAATTTCACCTCCACACTCCTCCGCCCAGAACTCCGATGGCTGAAAGAACTCCGAGTGGCTAATATTCAAATTACCGAAATTGCTCCGCTCCCAAGCAACACATCAGGATCATCACTCCAACTGCTATCACTTCGCGGCGTTCCTGGACTTTATCACTACAATTTTACTTTGAATCTTACAAACCTGCCATGGCTTCGACACCTTGATCTTTTTCAAGCAAATATACGGCGCGTTTCTCCAGGTACAGATCACATAATTTACCAAAATTACTCTACGTATCACCAAAAATATGATGTTGAAATTTTAAAGCTGCCACACTTCCTTCATTTTTTTAACAGAAGCACATTCCGATGGCTAACAAAACCTCTGCAGTTGCAAAATATATATAAAATGCACCGTATCTTTCACAGGCTTTCAAACCTGTTATCATTCATTTCACAAATGATGTTCCTTTTTCTATTTTCACTACTGTGCCTGTATACACTTAATAAAAACCCCTTCTCGTCAGCTTATACAAACTTGTATTCTTTAATCCGCTCTTTTATGTCTACATAATAAAAAAATAAAAGGATGACTCAAAATATTAGTGTCAAAAAGAGTAAATCTTTGTTTACATATATTAAAAAAATGAATTCGTATCCCAAGTTTTGTAAGTTTACAACCAATACAATAGCTGCAATAGAAATGTTGGGCGTAAAACTTTTATTTCTTTAAAACTCCATTCTCTTTTTTGAAACATAATAATACTCAATAAACAAGAAAAAATTCCAGTCAATGTGTATATCAATATATGGATATGTTTGTATTAATTATAAATTATATAGGGTGTAGTTAAAATATACACTGCAATATAATTGCCCCGAAATGTTTCAGAAACATTCACTGGATGCCCAATTATTGAATACCTGGATCTATCACGAAATAGCCTTTCAGAAATACCACCCGTCGTAAAAAGATTGAAATATTTAGAATCTTTGCAGTTACAATCAAATTACATTGATTTTAATTTGACGTCAGAAAATCTTCTTCCTCTGAAGAAACTGAGAACCCTAAATTTTGGAGGAACACCCATTGTTGCTTGGACGACACCAATCCCACCATTACCTCTTCTCGTTAATCTCTCACTCTCTGACTGCTCACTGACAAAACCCGGCCCGGCGCCCTTCGAATTTCCAGCTTTGGAGATTCTTGATCTCAGTCAGAATTATAATATCTCATTGTCTCAAAATACATTCACACAACTCCGTAAACTCAAGCAATTAATATTAAGAGGTTGTGAACTATCAAGTTGGCCGACATTACCCCCAACCCATTTCGCAACAATTGATCTGTCAGGAAATAATTTTACCACATTAGTTAATTTAGAAAAACAGGGAGTCACTGTAGAAGTACTGAACATGTCTCAAAACAAAATTTTCGAATGGGATGATCCCGACGTGTTTCTGATACACGCAAACAATGAGAGGTTCTCAAATTTGGAAAGCCAATTTACATCACTCAGGCTAGAGAAGAACCGCTTTGCCACCCCAGACGTGAAATCGCAGAAGCAAGCGCCAAACCTGCACGGCAAAACGCACAGCAGCAGGCGTGCTACGTGGGTGCAGCAAGTGAACCTGTCGTTGAACAGCATCTCTGCGTTCACCCCGGCTATGCTGGAGTCGCTGAGCTCTTTGGCCGCGGTGGACCTGGGAGGCAACCACATCGACTGCAGCGACTGTCGCACTCCGGCACTGCAGAGCTGGCTTCGGGCGGCTGGGTCGACAGTGAAGGTGCTGGGTAAGGACGGCAAATTTTTAAACGCATTGCAAAGCAGTAACGAACGTTGTAATTAGAGTTAAAAATAAATGAATAAATTCTAATATGATAATGTATAACTTACTAAGGAACCTAATTTTTTTACGAAATCGAAATTCGAATGTTCTACGGTAGTGGGAGACTTTTGTAGTCAGTTCTAAATAATCAAATAATATTTTTAAAAATATGGCCCCGCTAAAATGCAATAATGAAATAGTTAATAATGCACAAAAACAACAATATTTGTAAATAGTAATTATATTGATTGTTCTTGAAATTCTTCTGTAGGTTTAGTATCTAGATATTGCTCATTCTCCGAAAATTGTTAATTTCACATATTTTCAATGTTATCCTAACATTGTTCGCTGGGCAGATAATGTTAATTATTCAAATCCTTATCGAAACGTCCGGATCCGTTCTTTTATTATTCTCTACACTTCAACCTCTGCTCATCGATATGCGCTTCGCCGCGTTCGCTAGTGCTGGGCGAGGAGGGGCCGCTGCGCTGCTTCCTGCCGGCGTCGCTGGAGGGCGCGCCGGTGGCGGCGGTGCAGTTCGACGCCAGCGCCTGCAGGGACCCCACGGTGCGCCTGCGCTGGGCGCTGGGCCTGCCGCTCAGCGTGGCGTTGAGCGCCCTTCTGCTGTTCGGCGCCCTCGGCTTCTGCTACCGAACGGAGGTGGCTTACTTGGTGCACTTGGCCAGGGTTCGCGCGTCCGCCAGGCGGCCTGCCGACCTCGGCCGATGCGCCTACGACGCCTTCGTCTGCTACAGGTAGGCAGCCAGTACAATATTTCCATTGCGCACGCGCCAAAATTTTGTCTGACAGCTGGGCCCATCCTTTATCATCCTTCCAATAACATCATTGAACATTGTGTTGCCACGCCTTCGTTGTCGGCAACAGTTGATGTTCAACAGCGAACAGTTGAACAGACGTTAAGCGTCACTGCAATTCTTGCTTTGCAATACTTGAACGTAGAATTGTCACAATTGCTATCGCACCCATCCACCAATTCGCAAACTCGAACAGTTAGACGGAGAGATGATGGAGCAAAAATATACTACCAGAGAGCTTCAACAATGCGCGCGCACAAACGCGGCGACAATGGGCGTGCGCAATGTGAACAAAATTAATTTGGGCACTAAGGAATTAAAGAATATAATTTGTCGAAAAAATTGATCAATTTAGTACAATTTTGAAACTGAAAGATATTGCACATAAATACGTTGATCTTTACAATTTTTTATTTATCATCTTAAACTGGAAGTCTGTGTAATATATAGAAATATAAAAAAATCATTTAATTAATTTAAAACAGTTTTTCATTTTGTTTCTGACGCTTAATCGTCATGCAAACATATCACACAGATATTTCGCAAATGTTCTTGCCACGCCTATTTCAAACATTTAATGCAGTACTGTCACGTTGTTTTGTTTCTTTGGCGACTGCAAAGGAAACAGCGGCCAATGTTGCTCATTGGTTCTTATAAAGGCTGCAGTTTCGACATTCAGAACGACTCCTTGCGCTGTCGTTGTGTCCTTAATTGAGTCAACATATTTTTTTTTCTTTCTCCCTTATCCTCTATTCAACGACATATTTGAGATTCCGTCTTGGTTATAGTTTTAGTCCACAATCACACGAAACAAAAACGCACTCAACGCGCTGTGTAAACTCAAAAGAAGAAAATAGCAGTGACACACAACCACATCATCGGGGGAGGAGCATCAGGGGGTCAACTGATGTCACTGCAGTGTCTCTAGGGTTTGAGACTCGCGGTGTCAGGGTTTTTGACATTGTCTGGATAGCTATGTGGGATCGCGATCGGGAGGAAAATTCTAGCGGCCGGTTGCTCTCGTTTTCCGAGGTTTCTCCGGTCAGTACCAGGCGATTGCCGGAGCAGAACCCTAACAAACGGGCTACGAACCACGTGTATTTTTTCCGTCCCCTTTTTTGTGTCCTCACCCTCCCAAACTCACACTTACATGCACTATGTTACCGCACACGCCGGGAAACCGGTCAGGAGCTCAGAGCTTGTCCCGGCGGTATCTCACAGGTGGGTGATACGTGATCAGGGAAAGATAGTCAACGGCAGTTTGGCGACGGATAATCCTGCGGGGGAAATTAACACTACCTTCTGAGGAACTAAACGCACTACACTTACGGGAATAGTTACCTTAGACGTTTACGCCCCCAACCTTACCCGTTTTCATTTATCAATCAATCAAAATAATAAACATCGATAAAATGCTTATTGTCGCATAGCCTACCAATGTAGTCCACACTAATTCGGAATATTGCACGTGACGGAATAACAGGGTTATATTGTCAGGACGAAAGGTATAGTCAATGGCGCAGAGAGCCACATATTCTTCTATGGGAGTGAAAAAAAGAAGTGTAGACTACAGTAATCCAGGCAAACACCCAAGGCGTGATGAAAAAAATTGAAATATTTTGAGAAAATTTTATAAACGCCTCAGGTTCTTCAAACTACCTCCAAACGTTAATGAATGTTACTCAAAATTACAAATCTTTAATTAAAGTCAGATCTAACTTCGGAAATTAATTTGAGAAAAATACTTTAGGCGCTAGTGTTGGTAACAAACAGACGGATGTTCTGCAAAACAATGTTTTTTTCGAATCAAGGATACGTATAGAGAATGCCTCTAATGATTTTTTTATTTGGAATACGAACGAAAAATCGCTGCTAAACCAATAATATAAACAACAATCATTTTCTTTGTTATCTCAAATATTTCTAGTTCCCTTTGTTCCCTTGTTCCATAGCTCTTAAGTCGTCTTTCTTTCTAACCATTAAATCTGTGTTAACTTATTATCTTCTTCTTAACAATTCACATCTATCTAAATTGTTCGTCCAAATTATTCAAATAGTAACACAATGGATTATGAATTTAAATTGTAGGTAATATTATTTGCCTTGCGAATAAATGCTGGCATCTTGCCAATATAATTATTGTAAATTAAAATACGTTAAGAAGTGTATGATTGAACAGATAGAAAACAATTATTCAAAAAAGCACTGAATCTGAAAGGTAATTCATTTTGATTGATCGATCATATTTCGAGAAAATATTCAAACTTTTGTATGAATATCTTTGCAGTTATAACCGAGTTTTTGTGGTAATTCACATTAGACATAAATGTGTTGCGGTCCTAATAAAGTTGGATATAGTCGTAATATTACTTTTCTCCATTTTATTTTCTAAACTGACAATATTTATAAGAAATTAATAATAATTATATATATACGATAAAGAAACCGTATAAGAACTGTAGGTGCTTAGATTTTTTGGTTTACAGTGGTAAGAACCGGAAGTGGGTGATGCGTCGACTGGTGCCTCTCCTGGAGCGCCGTCCCCAGAGCTACGTCCTGTGCCTCTTCGATCGGGACTTCCGATTGGGTACCCACATTGTCACCAACATCATTGACGCCATCGAGCACAGCAGGAAGGTCATCGTGGTCCTCACTCAACACTTCATCGATAGCAAGGTCAGTATATTCCATGTCGTAGATGACAACGCCTAAGGCGTTATGGAGAGCTTGTTGTGACGCTGGTGGTTGCAGTGGTGCCAGTGGGAGCTGGAGATGGCGCAGCACAAGCTGTTCAGCGAGGACCGCGAGTTCCTGGTGCTGCTGGAGCTGGAGCCGCTGGAGCGCCGGCGCTTGCCGCGCCTGCTGCGCTTCCTGCTGGACACGCGTCCGGTGGTGCGCTGGCCGCGGCCCGAGACGGCGCCGGCGGTGATGGCGGCGGCCGCAGAGCTGCGCGCGGTGCTGGGGCCCAGCCTCCGCCAGACCCTCCTCGCGGACCCTCCGCCTGGAGACGAACCCGGGCCTTCCTCCTCCGCGGCGGACGTGCGGACACCACTGCTGGATAACAGTGACACGTGAATCTATCTAACGGAGCAGTACTAGGGCTGCATCGTATTGTAATCAGCCAACAATTTACAAAGGTTTCATTTGCAAGAACCTATTTAGTTAATTAATTGTTAATTATGATTTTGATTTGAATGACAAAGTATTGGATCTATTTCCTAAGAGATTGCATTATGCTTATGGTTCAAAACCAGGAATCGAACATTGCACTGAAGTTGGTGGGCTACGTTCTATCTGTTTTGCTTCTTCTCACAGAAAAATGTTCATGTAACCAAACGTTTGCGCTTTGGAGCGGTCATGTAGTAAATATTTGGTTAGCACTAAATGTTGCAAAAACGTGCTGCCAGAGAGCTTCAATGGCTCTTTAACTCCAGATCCTTAATTAACTTTTAGACATTTAAACATCTTCCCGCGCGGTAATGTGACTGTACACATGACTTGAGTCGGTTCGAATCTTCATCTAAAACATTTATTAGTTGCTCTATGCCTGTGGATACTTCGGAGGGAGAGGTATTTTGGGTTATTCACATGAAAAATCATTTTTACCCTCAAAAGAAAAACTTTGTAGTATCTCACAAAAAACTGCTTTCAGCTTTTGCCGTATTCAAATATGAATACTTTACATTGTCCACCTCCATATCGACTATTGTAAAATTAAACCAACTAAATTAAGCAGTAATTTTAAGCAACTGACTTTAGGGATAATGATAATTTTACATGATATGATTTCCTACTGATTGTATAAAAACATGTCATGGGTTGGATTTTGGCAACATTACAAAAAAATCATTAATATTCAATTATAGAAAATTACTATAAATTCCAGAATGGCACTTTCTGATAACAGATTGTAACATTTTGTGATTAATATATACATAATTTGCGATGAAACGGATATTCAAATATTGTTTTATTAATTGTTCTTCTCATTGTTGTGAACAATTATTAAAAAATTATATAAATGGCGTTATTTTTTTAAAGTTCAATGAATGCTAACTGAAATAAAAGTAAAGATTTGTATTCTAAAATTTTTATATAAAAATTAAATTTGTGATCAAGGAATTTAATTATTTTTAATGAAATTTGTGATTTTTTTAATCCTTGAGACACCAAACAGGCTTCTGCTTTACATCACGTTTAGTGCTCATTTTATGTTCTTGCCAAGAAAATATTTGTAGAACCACCTGAAGTTGGTTGTAACAGATATTTCCGTAGGAACGAAAACCAAATAAGAAACTGGTTTCCCACTTATTCGCAATACCCATTTAGAGCACTGATTTATACTAACACAAATTTTCAAACGTGAAGTACGAAAATTAAATGTCAAAATTTCATCTTTACCTTTGACACCATTAAACCAGCAGGCAAATTTAAGTTTTTTTTTGTCAGTTAAATATATATTCATACCATTTTGGAAAATTTTCAATACTAAAGAAGATTATTTTTAGTAAGATTTTTTATTATTTAAAATTTCGAACACACATGCATAGTGTTCACTTTGCACTATACCTCATTATAAAATTTTTAGTAAAGAAATCGAAACGTGATCTGTCGAGACCGCCCGGAAAATTGCTTGCGAAAATCTTCTGCCGACACTCATTTGTCAAGACACTAGTTCAAGCTCTTTGGTGGTTTTCCTGATTTCTGTGATTTTTTATGGTTAAAATCGTATATACTTTTGTTACGTTGCTACGGAGACATCATGTTGTATTGTATTGCATAAATTCAGTTTTCAGGATTCAATCGCACGTCGTTTTTAGCAAAGAGGAGAAAGTTTGCTAAACAAAACATAACATTTTGCATTGAATTAGAGGTAATGGTAATAATACATCGTAAAGAACCCATTTGTATGTACTTTACTCTAAGTCATACAGAATATC